TTTTAGATCTGACTTTAGTTTTGTTGCTGTTCCTTTATTTCTAGGCTACTGAAGAAAACTCCTCTGTTGATTAATGTAATCTTGATACAAAGCTTCTGGTTTACCATTTTCTAGGTCAGACTCTCCAGCCCATTCATGTCTTATAGACTCTCCTTGCCCTGTTCACATGTCAAAAGTATCTGACTTGATCCACCATCTGCCAGTCTTGTTGCTCTCCCTGATTTTCCTTGAGGCAGCGACCTGGTTTGAAAATGAAAGCGTACAGCATGTGTTGTGACAGACATAAACGTTATACTTGAAACAAACACTTACACAAAAATATGCATGTACAGATTTTAATATTCAATTACATTTCCATGTACAGGTAGCCTTATTCACCACAGATATTTTAGGTCAACAACAAACAGGATGTTAGCCAGCTAGCCTCCTAATACTAAGGAAGAACTTTAATATACATGTAAAACATTGATCTTATCATTGTACAAGATAGGAAATCTGACATAACAATCAAATGCCATGGCTATGCTAAGATGGCTTAAAAATCCCCTAAGTTTGATATTTTTTGGCTTATAGCTAAAAAAAATTTACACAGTTCCCGTTTCTGGCTATTTTTTGTTTAATTTATTGATATTATGAACAAAATAATGGTGGACATACTGTTTGTAGCCACCCAAGACTAGTAAAAATATCAGGTGGCTCTCAAATGTATGTACAGATTTTTTTTTTTTAAACTTGGTATAAATTATGCTTGCTACAAACCTGAACATTACTGACTCTTGTTAAAGCTGCAGCCTGGATGTGTCGCGGAATCATCCTAACAGAATGACCAGCAACGTTTACTTTTGCCTTCATAGGGTCAATATGTTTGTGTTTGGACTGTCTTGGCTGGGGTTGCATACCATACATTTTTTAATTTCAGTTGGGCTGTCACCTGCAACAATCTGCTCTTTATCTTGCCCACTCTGCTGTGCCCAAAGAAATCTTAATTCTCTACTCAAACTACACGTTTATTTATTTATTTATTTATTTATTTATTTTGTCACCAGTACTTGCATTAGGATTTACTGTTTTATTTACATTCTGCAGTTTGTGCCTGGAAACATCAAGGGTCTCATCAGCATTAGGAAAAAAACATTGTGTTCTTTGTAATCAACAACGCATAAATAAAGCAACTCATTTTCAATCTTACAGGGAAAGTATCACGGTTCAACGCATGCGTAAGCTGTGATGTGGCCCCACCCAATTCCATTGTTTATAAACCAATCAGATGCGAGTACGTAACTCATTCGTCTGGAGTAAATAGTTATGCCCGAATAACAATTTTGATGTTCAATTCTAAATTCGCCCTTTTCTGTCTAAATCCGTTTACATCTTCCGTAAAATTTAGACACCAGTCATTCTGCTAGCCTTCGTATAGCCATCATTACACTTTCTCCAAATTGTAGGCTGTGATTTCTGATATACATCTTGTTAATACGAAGGCAAAAATGTACTTCATGTATGGAGTCGGAACATACGAAAGGATTTTTTTTTGAGGAATCTTACCTATATCGTCAGGTTTTTGTGAGTGACCATAAAATGTTCAACGGCAAATTCCTGCAAGTCATTTGCATGCTTCCGATTGTTTTATAAACAATGAAATTGAATGTTAAACGTAGCTTGCGTTTGTGCCAAGCCGTGAAAAGTCCAGAAATAATTAAGTTCTATTGCTTAGTGCACAAGATGCTCTCGAGTCAATTCATGCAAAAGTATTTGTATAATTTTGCTTCACACTCGTTATGTAAATTTAATTTTACACCTGTATTCCTTATTTTCATCACCTTGACAATGGTTTCATGAAGACTCTGAAAAGTCGGGTGTTTTTTTCAGTTTTTCCTTGTTTATGCAAGTCAGCAGTTCAAATTGGAATAACTTAGAATAGTTCAAGAAAATCAATGAACCAGTTTCTTACCTTTTCGGGTTTAAAATCGAATAAGGACTTCCATGATTTAAGAGTCACTGACTGAAAATATCGAGAATGGCTGGCCAGGTTAGAAAAATCGAAAATCCTGAAACT